TGAAGGGATAAGAGCAGGGCTTTTCAACCTTTTCACCCATTGTACCACTTTTAGGATATGGCAATATCCAAGTACCACTAGTTGCCTAGCAAGGGGTCAAAACTCGATGACCAGAAAAAAAAAGGAAAAAAGTGATAAAGTACAGGTAGTCCTCAACTTACAACAGTTCGCTTAGTGACTGTTCGAAGTTACAATGGCACTGAAAACAGTGCCCCCCAAGCCACAGCCGAGCAAGACACCTGCCTGCCCGCCCGGCGGCGCTCTTCCTCCTGTCCAAGGTTTTCATTGTTGTGAGCATTTCTGTTGGGGATTGGCAACAGGGGTGGGATGGGGGGTGTTTGGTTTTTATTCCCCCCGTCTGCTGGATGGTTGCAGCAGGTTTTGATCACTTCACATGATTCTGGGACACTGTGACTGTCATAAATATGAATCGGTTGCCAAGCATCTGAATGTAAATCACAAGACCCTGGAGAGGCTGCAGCATTCCAGCTGATCGGCGCTTCTTCTGGGCTCAGCGGAAGCACCAGGATCAGTGCTGCTTTCCAGCTGATTGGTGCTTCTTCAGGGCTCAGCAGAAGCACCAGGATCAGCGCCGAGCTCCAGCTGGAGCCTGGCACTGATCCTGGCACTTCCACTGAGCCCTAACAGTCCTGAAGAAGCACCAATCAGCTGGAAAGCGGCACTGATCCTGGAGCTTCCACTGAGCCCTGACAGCCCTGCAGCTCCAGCCGTCTCTCGCTCAGGCTTGTGCGGTGCTGCCACCGGTTCAACTTATTCCCCTTCCCTGTTACCACTTTTCTAGGATGGTCGCATGCCACCTGCCAGGTGCCAATGTACCATAGGTGGTACCCGTACCACTGGTTGAAAAGCACTGGATAAGAGCATTGATGCAGAACGCAGGCCACCGGCTCCCAGCTCTGTTCGGCCATTTGGCGCCTGGCCTCCCAATGACATTCTCGCATTAATCAGTTGCTCGTCAGATGCGCAGCATGCCTCCAGGTCCCCAACACCTCTCCGTGCCGAACAGCTATCCGGTGGACCGGCCGCGGAGCCACCCAGCTGGTCGGCGGTGACACATGTTCCAGCAGTCCAGGCAAGGCCGTCTCTGGCGTTGTCTCCATCTCTGGCCTCCTCCTCGATGCCTTCCCGCACCAAACAGCTGTCTGGTGGGCCGGCCATGGAACTGCTCAGCTGTTTGCCGGTGTATGGGTAAGACCGCCGCCGGCCTCCTCCCAGGCATCGTTCTCGTCTCCCTCCCCCCCTTGAATGTTGAGCCCATGGGGCTTGACAGGCGGCCCCCTCTATCAGGGTTCCACCTGGAAGGCAAGGAGAAACGTATGATTAATCATATGCCGTAGCAGATGATTCAGACAAACCCCCTCCTGGCTTACTGGGACACCATTGGTGGAATATCCACAACAACCGTGGGGCTTGGATATCCGCTTCCCCCACCCAGGACACCTCAGTAACAGGGTACCCCTTCCACCGTACCAGGTACTGCAACCGACCCCGTTGGATACGGGAGTCTAACACATTTTGAATCTCATAATGGTCCCCTGTGACAGGGCCCGGTATCCGTTTCACAGACCTACATGAGGGCCCCTCCACCGGCTTCAGTAGGCTGCAATGGAAGACTGAGTGTACCTTTCCCAGAAGCCAGGGTAGCTGTAGCTGCACAACAACTGAGTTAATAACCTGCATAATCCGGAATGGGCCTATGAATTTTGGCCCTAGCTTTTTGCAGGGTAATTTCAGGCACAGATACTTAGTTGACAGGTATATCATATCCCCCATCCGAAAAGGCTTTTGGGGCATCCTTTTCTTGACTGCCTGCGCCTTTGAGTCCTTCTCTGCTCTTAGTAAAGCTTTCTTCACATTCTCCCAACCCCCCGCCCATGTGAGTTATCCAATCCTGGGGTTGACAGGGGGAGGGGTCCACCTGCAAACATTCAGGAATCAGGACAAATTCCATCCTATGTACCATCCTATGTATGGAAGGGGGTGAATCCAGTGCTGCTGTGAACTGCATTATTGTATGCCACTTTGGCGAACGGTAACAGGTCAACCCAGTCCGTCTGTTGGTAAGAGACATAGCACCGCAGATACCGTTCCACCATTGCATTGGCCCATTCGGCCGCCCCGTTGGTATTGGGATGAAAAGTCAAGCTGAGTCCTTGGGACAATCCGATGGAACAGACGAACTCACGCCAAAACCAAGCCGTGAACTGCACCCCCTGATCCGATATGAGCAGGAGGTTGGACTAGGAAACCTCCAAAGTCCCTTCCAACCCTGATATTCTGTAATTCTGTAATCCTAGATCTTCTTTAGAACTTTAGTTCCCTAGCATTTGTGGTAGAGTCTTTTCTCCAATGATTTGCAGCCTTCCTGGTTTCCACATGAATGTAATTCCTGAGGGAAATAACCTATTAGGAGAGGTTTTTGTTAGGCTATGGATAATCAGGGAAGTTCTACAGTCGTGTGAAGTTGTATCACAGAAGACAACCACAGCAGAAGTACATCTTTAGCATGTCCAAGAAGAAATTTTGTTGTGACTTGTTACATGTTTTTCCTGCATTTTCTCCAAGAATACAAGGAATCTTACATGGGGATCTCCCTCAATTATATGCCCACTGTAACGATAACCTTGAGAAATAGGTTAGGCCAGGGGTCTCCAAACCTGGCAACTTTAACACTTGTGGACTTCAACTCCCAGAATTCCCCAGCCAGCATGAAAAAACATTGCTCCAACGTGTTTCACAAAGCTGGTGTGGAGAAAAACAGGAGGAGCCGGCTGGACGTCCATGGCCTTGAGCTCCTGAGTAGAAAGTACAGGTAGTCCTTGACTTATAACAGTTCATTTAGTGACCATTCAAATTTACACAGGACTGAAAAAAGTGACTTATTACCATTTTTCAAACTTACGACCGTTGCAGCATCCCCATGGTCATGTGATCAAAATTCAAATACTTGGCCACTGCTTCACATTTATGACAGTTTGCAGTATCCAGGGGTGATGCAATCCCCTTTTATGACCTTTTGACAAGCAAAGTCAGCAGGGAAGCCAGATTCACTTAACAACCATGTTTACTAATTTAACCACTGCAGTGATTCAATTGTGGCCGTTAAGTCAAGGACTAACTGTAGAACAAAAGGCACTGGGCATCAGCCAGCCTGGAAAGGCCACGAGATGAACCAATGGATGCGAATATAAACATGCTGATGTCTTCTGCGCCATGTTTTATTGCTGGGCTTCTTTCGGTCTTTCACTTCCTGTCTCTGGCTCAGAAATGAAATCATGCAAGCACTCCAGCCACAGGCTCAGCCTGAGTGAGGAAGCCCCACTGAAATCTTGCTGCTTACTCACGAGCAACTAATTCTTATTTGTGGTAGGTTGGTAGAGAAGGGTATCTCAACCTATGCAGCTTTAGGATGTGTGGACTTCAATTCCCAGAACTCCCCAGCCAATGTGCTGGGAATTTAAGTCCATCCATGCTGACTGGGGGATTCTGGGAGTTCAAGTCCAATACTAGAAGGGTTGTCACAGAGAAGAAGGGGACAGCTTATGCCCGAAGCCCCTGAAGGCAGGACAAGACACAATTGTTAAATTTATGTTAAAAGGGAGTTAAAGCGCATTATGGACTTGGTTATTTAAATAGTTGGTTAATGTTAGTTAGATTATGATTATTATATTTGTAACCCTGTGTTCAGCTCTGGGAAGTGGGGGAGAGGGAGGGGGATTTGGGGTGGGTATGGGGGTTTATATTGTAATTTTTATAAAACTTTTAATAAAAAAGAAGAAGACACAATTGATGGAAGAAATCAAAGGGGAACTAAGGGGAAATTTCCTGACAGAACAACTGGAATAGTTTGCCTTCTGGAGTTGTGGTTGCTCCATCATTGGAGGTTTTTAAGAAGAGAATGGACAGCCATTTGACTGGGATAGTAGGGTCTCCTGACTTGAGTAGGGGGTTGGACTAGAAGACCTCCAAAGTCCCTTCCAACTCTGTTATTCTATGATTCTGCATCTTAAAGTCACCAAGCGTTAGATCCACTGCTGTAGAGGATGTGCAATTGGATGTTATGTTTCCCCTGGCTCAGTCAATTCTAATCAAGTTTCTCGAAGACATCAACAATGGGAAACATTTAATGGAATCAGGGATGAGAAAACCTTGACAGATTAAGACTGTTGGTGGGCTTCCAAAAATGGTGTTGGGCAGAGATATTATTTTGCTTCTTCCCCCTCTTTCAGTACGAGGAAGAATTTATTTTAGAAATTCATTTCATTGGAGAAGAGAATTCCTGGAGAAGAACATTTCAGAGAAATTCTCATAGGAGTGTGTGGTGCTTTTGCATTTAGGTAGTGACCAGGTGTGTTTTTCTATGCAAAATACTCTCTTTAGTGGTCCCCGGTCTCCGGTTTCCATTCAATTCTAAGGGCAAAGATCAGGAGAGACTGTATGTCTATGGAGATCCTCAGTCATCCAGGTCATGGTTGTCCCAAAGGTGTTTTTTTCCAAAAGGCAACTGGACTTTTCTAGGTTTCTTCCTATGAAAACATTTTGCTTCTCATCCAAGAAGCTTCTTCAGTTCATGAAGCTTAAATTGAACTGGAGCAGCTTCATGAAATGCATGAACTGAAGAAGCTTCTTGGATTTGAAGCGAAATGTTTTCAAAGGGAAAAATCAAGACAGTCCAGTTGCCTTTTGGAAAAAGCACCTTTGGGATCAGGAGAGATCCCTCCCATGAGATTTTAGCAGCCAATGAGGGAGCAGTTGAGTTGACCAAGGATGGGGTGTGAGGGGATTGCCTTTGATTGTTCCATCAGCTTTCCAAGGATTTCTGGTTTTCCAAACTTTGAGGAAGTCCTAATGGAGAAACTTTAGGATGAAATAGGCCAGGGTTTTGTTTTTTTTAGATGATTGAAAACCCTCTCCTAGCTGATCTGGGAGACTCATGGAGAGATTTACCATTTCCAAACTAAATCTTGGTGGTTCTCCAGTTCCCCAGGTCCTGAAGAGCTGCACGGAGTTTGTGGAACAGCATGGGATCGTGGATGGCATCTACCGGCTGTCAGGAGTCTCTTCAAACATCCAAAAATTAAGGTAAAGGTGGGAATATCCATTTTGATTTGAGTACCAAACAGCACCTCAAAACTGAGAGGCAGGACGTCATCGTGACCTGGTCACCATGATACAGAAAAGGTGCTGAAACTCTAAAAAAGAGTGCAGAGAAAAGCAACCAAGATGATTAGGGTATTGGAGGCTAAAACGTATGAAGAACGGTTGCAGGAACTGGGTTTGTCTAGTTCAGGGGTGGGGAACCTTGTCTCTTTTATGACTTGTGGACTTCATGGCTGGCTGAGGAATTCTGGGAGTTGAAGTTCACAAGTCATAAAAGGGCCAAATTTGAAGACCTCTGGTGTAGTCTAAACACTAGATCAGGGCTTTTCAACCTTTTCACCTATTGTAGCACTTTTAGGATATGACAGTATCCGCGTACCACCAGTCGCCTAGCAAGGTGTCAAAACTCGATGACTAGAAAAAAAAGAGGAAAAAAGTGATAAAGTACAGGTAGTCCTCGACTTACAAGAGTTCGCTTAGTGACTGTTCGAAGTTACAATGGCACTGAAAAAAGTGCCCCCCAAGCCACAGTCGAGCAAGACACCTGCCTGCCCGCCCAGCAGCGCTCTTCCTCCTGTCCGAGGTTTTCATTGTTGTGAGCATTTCTGTTGGGGATTGGCAGCGGGGGTGGGGTAGGGGGTGTTTGGTTTTTATTCCCCCCCCCGTCTGCTGGGTGGTTGCAGCAGGTTTTGGTCACTTCACATGACCCTGGGACACTGTGACCGTCATAAATATGAATCGGTTGCCAAGCATCTGAATGTAAATCACAAAACCCTGGAGAGGCTGCAACATTCCAGCTGATCGGCGCTTCTTCTGGGCTCAGCGGAAGCACCAGGATCAGTGCTGCTTTCCAGCTGATTGGTGCTTCTTCGGGGCTCAGCAGAAGCATCAGGATCAACGCCAAGCTCCAGCTGGAGCCTGGCGCTGATCCTGGCACTTCTGCTGAGCCCTGACAGTCCTGAAGAAGTGCCGATCAGCTGGAGCCTGGCACTGATCCTGGCGCTTCCGCTGAGCCCTGACAGCCCTGCAGCTCCAGCCGTCTCTCGCTCAGGCTTGTGTGGTTCTGCCACCGGTTCAGCTCATTCCCCTCCCCCGCTACCACTTTTCTAGGATGGTCGTGTACCACCTGCCAGGTGCCAATGTACCATTGGTGGTACCCATACCACTGGTTGAAAAGCCCTGGACTAGAAGATCTCCAAGGTCCCTTCCAATTGTATTATTATTATTATTATTATTATTATTATTATTATTATTATTATTATCACCATCACCATCACCATCACCATCACCATCACCATCACCATCACCATCACCATCACCATCATCTGATCCCAATCTTTGCTATGTCCCATCACCTTCTCCCTTTCTTTTTGCCCCTTAAATCTCTCAGACTTGAGTTCGACAATGACCGGAATTCTGATCTCAACAAAGAGGTGTATCTTCAGGACATTCATTGTGTGAGTTCCCTTTGCAAAGCTTACTTCCGGGAGCTGCCGAACCCCCTCCTCACCTACCAGCTGTATGATAAGTTTGCAGTAAGTATGACTTGCAGGCTACCCTTTGTGTCGTTTCATTGATTGGTTATTTATATCCAGTCTGGATTTCAGAAATCATGGGCACTCCATCAATGGAGATTTTTAAGAAGAGACTAAACAGTCACCTGTCTGAGACATATAGGTTCTCCTGCTTAAGCAGTGGGCTAGAGTAGAAGACTTCCAAGGTCCCTTCCAGATTCTATTCTATTCTATTCTATTCCATTCCATTCCATTCCATTCTTCAGAGAAAACCCATCCGGTGAAGGAAATTGGGCTAACGAGAATAACAACCTTAAAGTCATCTTAGGAGCTTCCTTGGCTGAATTAGCTTTTGGGTTGGGTCTTCACTATTTGTGACAGCAGTGTCTCAGATAGAAAGTCCATACAGAGATTGCATCATAAGATCATAGGAATTTCGCTTCCTGGCATTCAGGATGCAGCTTATAAGTACATATGTGCTTATTGCTCGGAGCATTGTAAGAGACCCCACATGCCCACTTCACAGTCTGTTTCTGTTGCTCCCCTCTGGGAGGAGGTGTCAAAGTATTTATAACAGAACTACCAGATTCTATAACAGCTTTGTTCCTTATGCCATCTGTCTGGCAAATTCGCAAGATTTGTTTTTCTCACTATGCACATGTACACATAACCCGAATTAGACTGTTGTTTCTCTGTGTCATATAATGTATGTGGGTATATGCATAATTCTGTATTTATTCATTTATTTTTGTCATATTTATGTAGTATATATCGGAGGTGGTGACCCTTTGAGAGCTGAATGCAATGAAATTTCATTTTAATGTATGCCAATTAGTGTCCATTCAAAGTAGCAATAAAGTTGTTATTCTATTCTACTCTATTCAAAGTCCAAGTTCACCATTATGACCACTGAGAATTCTTCTGGCTCATACAAAATGGGGGATGAGTAGACAGGAAGACTTTTATGATGGACGATAGTGAGGAGGTGGATTCCCAGGGAGAGCATTCCAGAGGTGTAAGAGCAGCTCAGCCTGGATATTATGTGTGAGGGAAAGAGGGTGAAGACAGCTTCTCCCTAATAGTTCATATAATTTATTCTAGATGCTGACAGTACAGGTAATATCCTTGATTTACAATTGTTCATTTATTGTGATGAATGTACTAAGGAGATGGAGTCCCATGATGTAGGGGCTGCATTCCAGAGGAAGAAGAGGCAACTTAGCCTGGGTATTATATGTGAGAGAAAGAGGGTGAAGGCAGCCCCTCCCTGATAGTTCCCACAGTATATTATAAATGCAATTGGAGATTCCTCAGTCTGGCAAGATTTTGTCTGTAGATGTGAAGCAATAAGGACTTGGCTTGGAAGAATCACCGTGTGCTATTCTAGGTTGGAGCCTGAACATGATGACTGAGGAATTCTGGGAGGTGAAGTCCACACATGATGTGATGGAATGTCATGAGAAAGTGGACCACAAAAGGGAAGGGGGCATTCCTGTAGAATAAGAGGCAGCTCAATCTGGATATTATGTGTGAAAGAGAGTGAAGGCAGCCCCTCCCTAATAGTTCCCAGAGTATACTGTAAATGCAATAGGAGTTTCTTCAGTCTGGCCAGATTTTGTCTGTAGACGTGAAACAATAAGAACTCAGCTTGGAAGAATCACCATGTGCTATTCTAGGTTTGGGGCCTGACACGTTTTCCCTAATTGGAGGTGGGAATCCATTTTTGCTCCTTTAATCTTCCACTCAAACTTCCATGACTGGCTGGGCCCATTCTGAACGCCTGATTCCTGCACCCGATCATCCATGGTTCAGCTCAGAGAGTCAATACTTGGTTCTTTTCTCCGCTGGAGTGAGAAAAAAATGAGGATGCTTAGCAAATAGAATGGACAACTGACCATCAACATCCTCCTCCCTCCAGGAAGCTGTGGCCATCCAACTGGAAGAAAGCCGGCTGGAGAAGATCAAGGAGGTGCTGAAGGAGCTGCCACCACCACACCATCGGTACCTGCAGGAACCCTGTTGGTCTCTGGCTCAGTCTTCCCAGGAGGAGGAGAAGGGGGGAAGGGGAGGGGAAGAAGGAGAAGGACAAGGGGGAGGAGGAGTGTAAGAGGGGGAGGAAGAGGAGGAGGAGGAGGAGGAGGAGGAGAGGGGGAGGAGGGGAAGGGAGGAGGGTAAGATAGGAGGAAGGGGNAAGAGGAGGAGAGGAGGAGCAGGAGAAGACAAATGGGAGGAGGAGGGGAAGAGGAGGAAGAGGAGGAGGGGAGGAGGAAAAGAGAAAGGGGAAGGGGAGAGGAGGAAGAGGAGGAGTAAGGGAGGGGGAGAAGGAGGAAGGTAAGAGGAGGAGGGGAGGAGGGGAGGAGGAGGGTAAGAGGAGGAGGAAGAGGAGGAGAGGAGGAGGGGGAGGGGAAGGGGAGGAGTAGAAAGAGAGAAGGAGGAGAAAGAGAAATAGGTTCTGTAATTTTAAGGAAGTAACAGAAAGATACTTTCTCTCTGAAAGAAAGTGAGTGTAAATGACAATTCAAGACATGAGAAGCAGCTGACCCTCCTGTCACCTCCTTTTATTTCCTCCCCTCTCTCTTTCTCTGCTTCCAAATCCAATTTGCTGCCAGAACCCTTGAATTCCTGATGAAGCACCTTGTTCGCATGGCGTCTTTCAGTTCCCAGACCAACATGCATGTGCGGAACCTGGCTATAGTCTGGGCCCCCAACCTGCTCAGGTGAGAGAATGTGCTATGGGGTGGGGCTTCCAAGCCAGACCCAAGTAGGGTCCTTTGGCGTGGGGCCGAGCCACAGGCAAATCACTGCGAGGGGAGAAGAAGCCGCGTTCTCAAGAGTGAGCTGCATCCCCAGGTGAAGAGGGTATGATTCAAACGGGGTGGGAGCCAATATAGTGGTGGTGGTTTTCCAAGTCAAAACTGCTGCTTAGTATAGGAAGGAGAACCAGCACATGGAGGTCCACCCTGGTTCTGGAGGTCCTGGAGCAGGTAGCTGTGCTGGAATGTAGTCTGGAGTCCCAGAAGGGAGGGGCTGCTTCATGGAGGCCAAAGTGGAGGCAGAGTGTGATGACCCAGGGCCCCGAACGGAGGCAAAGCAATTAGCTGGTCAGAATAATTGTCTTTGTAAGCACTGCCAACGTTCACCCAACAGCCCCCACCTATGCTGGCACAAGTTCAATAAAACAGTCAACGGAGTTCAACAGTTCTTTAAAGTAAAACAGATAACAAACGAAGTATGATCTTTCCAACGCCCATCTTGCCCTGTAGCCTGCAAACTGCAAAACTGAGGACAGCAAGGAGAACTCAGCAGGAAACAAACTTGATCCAAGATACAAAGAGTCCAGGTACAAGAGCTCACATCACAAGAGTTCACGTTTGTTCCCGGCAAATGCCCCACCCCACAGCGTCTCCTTAAATGCCTACTTCCCAG